TTATCTCATTTAATCCTCTAGGTGCTCTTATTGTTACCATGTCCAGATGGGAAGGCTTAGAATCAGAGAGGTTAAGCAACTTGCCTAGAATCACACAGCTAATAACTGGCAGAGTCAAGTTCCAAATTTAGAGGATCTGACTACAAACCCCGGGACCCCATACTGCACTCACCAAAGTGTATCCCACAGAAGATACCACTTTTGCTGGGGACATGACAGGTATGGTGTGAAAAAAATAACAGCAAAAGCATGTGGTCAAATGCACATTTAGCACATGGTAAGTTAAATGGGCTTCTTTACTAAAAGACTTCTTAGAGCTTTTAAATTGCTAACAAACACTGTGAATCTCCACGAGATGAACAGAGCATATGTGTGTCCCAAACTTGTTTGCGCAGGGACTGTTTTCTGGGGGAAGCATCTTGCTGGACCAGATGCCACTTTCAGAAGCATAAAACTCGTGTCTGCTCAACACCCACTCTGTGCTCCAGGTTTGCTAGGGGCCAGCGTAGGGAAGGTGCCAAAGGCAAAAGCGGCAGAGGCCACCCAAAACTCTGGAATCACTCCAGAGCCCTCCAGGCTCGGCCAGCCTCCTGCAGAGGGCCACTCTGAGGGCCCCAGTCCTCCTGCCTATATAAGCCAGGAAGCCGTCTGCATCTGCCAGTTGCCCTCTTGAACTATACAGCTTGTCCAACTCCCGCCAGGGCATCTATCTTTGTGGACTTCACAAAGGAAATTTCTCACCTGAGTTAATAATTGTTGCCTTCAATTCTGAACTCCCTTCTGTCCCTTCTGTGAGGAGATTTGGCATTAAGTCATCACAATCAAAAAGGATAGACTACTTTATCCAAATCTCAGAAAGAATTCTTAGAAAAGCCTCAAGGTGACAGCTATTATACTCCACTGACAGAAGCATTAATGATCCTCTTAAAGATAACACGTTAAAGACGTTTTCAGCCTTGTGGAAGGACACCTCCAGTGAGGCGCTTTTCTTCTAACTACCTTGGAGTCATTACATGATAAGTGCTTGCTCTATGAAGCCCTGTTGTTCAAAGTTCAGTAACTATCCTTCAGCAGAAAGAGCAATTACAGGGAAGTAACTATTTCTTGAATACTATGTGTGTCCTTACTATTCACACCAGTACTTGAGACAGTCAGGAGCTACAGGGCATTTCAGAGGTCAAGCTACAGAGCTGAATGGTTAAGTCTGACCATCTGTGACCAAAGCCCAGGGATGCAAGGCAATGAATGATGCAATGGAGAAGTTACCTAAGAGTCCGGTAGGAGGGGCAGCATTTAGCAGGGGTGTCTTGGGTTCCGAATCACTGCTGTTGAGCCACCAAACTAGGTCCTCTAAAGTATTGCCTTCAACCTGGCACTCCTCTGCTCAAAAACTTTCTATGGGTCCCCACTGCCAAGAAAACAAAGTTTAAACTTCATAGATTGGTATGAAATGCCCTTCACAGCCTGCCTCAAATCCACCTATCTGGCTGCTCTCTACCAGAATCCCCCGTGCACGGCCTTCCTTCCCCTTTTCTCCCCCTGCATTTCAAGCCCATTCCACACCCACCTCTATCATGAAGCCACTTCCACCTCCATCTCAGAACATGCTTGTCATCTGGCCCTCTAAAATGCTTTCCAGCAAGTTCCATTTCTATAAACTGAAAGTCATCCCCAACCACAAAACTGCCTGAACCACGTCGGATTCTTTTTTAGCTCAGGAGGGGAAACGACTTCCCTCTGCAGCTGACAATCTCCACTGGAGCTCGGCAGTCCTCCTATTTGCTGGAAGATGAAATGCCCGATCTCTTCCATGCCTGTGGTTTATATTGCGCCAGGCTGTGTCAGCGCTGATATAGTAACCTCCCATTTTTATTGAGCGGCACCCAGTGTAATTGATGACATCTGCTGGAGCCGATATTTTAAGTGAAGGCTATTCTCAGCCCTGCCTGCTCTCCCCCCAGCTCGGGATATAAATAGCCAACAGCAGCTACACCTGAGGTACAAAGTGGGGCTTCTCAGCTAAGGTCCTCGATTATACCCCAGAAAGTCATGAGGTTTTCTGCAAGGATTTATCTCAGCAGATCGAGTTTTCAAGCCTGCAGAGCTCAGAAAAGAGGGAGCAGGGGCAGGACGCTGCTGGATATGGTTGCTAACATTCCTTGGAGAGAAAAATCCTTGTTTGGACTTTGTGGTTAGACAGATTTAAATAGCATGTTCAAAGGAAGCTATCATTTATATCATATATGTAGATATATCATTTACATATATGAAGTGACAAATGATGCCCACCTTCGGGTATAACCTTTCCCAATGAGAATTAGTAAAACTTAAAATGTTCCTTGGTAAAGTTTTAGTATTTGTTGGCAGGCCCTGGGGAAGAGTAAATCTGGCATTTATTTAGGCAACATTTGATCCTTACAGGACTAGAACCTAAATCTTTTTCTGGACTGGAAAGCGTCAGTTCGTGGTCACGATCACCTGCGGTAGCTCCGTAAGAAAGATCCTGGTAGGGGTGTTTGCAGAAGGGCTCATTTACCAGGTACACACAGGGAACATGTTGCTCTACATCTGAGTGTTCTTCCAACATGAAGGTGTAGCCTTTTGAGAAATTTTTAGAAATTTTGATCATTTTTGATGGAAAATTTCTGAATTACAAATACTTTCATATGTTTTACTGTGATGATTCAGTCACTGTTAAAGTTGTTAGTTCTCCAAAGAAGACATCAAGATGGCCAACAGGAACATGAAAAGATCCTCGTCATTGCTGATTATTAGAGAAATGCAACTTAAAACTACAATGAGGTATCACCTCACACCAGTCAGAATGGCCGTCATCAAAAAGTCTACAAATAACAAATGCTGGAGAGGGTGTGGAGAAAAGGAAACCCTCCTACACTGTTGGTGGGAAGGTAAATTGGTGCACTATGAACAGTACGGAGGTTCCTTAAACAACTAAAAATAGAACTAACATATGGTCCAGCAATCGCACTCCTGGGCATATAATCCAGAAAACATGAAACTAATTCAAAAAGATACATGCACCCCAATGTTCATAGCAGCACTATTTACAATAGCCGAGACATGGAAGCAAGCTAAGTGTCCATCAATGGATGAACGGATAAAGAAGATGTGGTATATATACACAATGGAATACTACTCAGCCATAAAAAAGAATGAAACAGTGCCATTTGCAGCAACATGGATGGACCTAGAGATTATCATACTGAGTGAAATAAGTCAGACAGAGAAAGACAAATATTATATGATACCACTTATATGTGGAATCTAAAAAATAATACAAATGAACTTATTTACAAAACAGAAACAGACTCGTGGACATAGAAAACAAACATGGTTACCAAAGGGGAAAGGGTGAGGAAGGGATAAATTAGTAGGAGTATGGGATTCACAGATGCACGCCACTGTATATAAAATAGATAAACAACAAGGATTTACTGTATAGCACAGGGAACTATATTCAATATCTTGTAATAACCTATAATGGAAAAGAACTGGAAAAAATATTTATACCTATGTATAACTTCATCACTTTGCTTTACACCTGAAACTAACACAATATTGTAAATCAACTATATTTCAATTAAAAATTTTTTAAAATTTTTTTAAAGTTGCTGAAGTGTGAGGCCCTTGGAGCCCACTGGCATAGGTATAGCCCAGACGGGGCCTCCAAAAGAAAGCCTCCCCTAGCACCTGCCCACAACACACACATGCATGCCCACTAAGTCTCCCACCTATAGTCTCACCTGCACACACCTGCATCATAGCCATTAACACATCTTCCACCGCAATTGTTCACTGAGCTATTTCCCCATTCCCCACTCTGAGCTCCTCCTGGATGGGCACCACAGGTTTTCTGTTTTATCCCCAGGACCTGGCTTGTTCCAGAGTGCTAGGTCAATAAATGTTTGAGAATGAATGAATGCATGCACGTATGAATGAACAAAGTGTTGCACTACTTGAGGGCATACGCTAAACGTCTATGCGAAAATTTTAATGCCAATTTTGATTACAAGAAAACCAGAGTCCGGTTGGAGTGACCCATTAAAGTGACAAAGGAGAGAGCGGAAAGGGGCGCCTTCTATCGTGTTACACGTCAATGCTTTCCTTGACTTCTTTGTGTCAAGTTGACCATCGTGACCACATCAAATACTCAATCTACAGAACTGAAGCTGATTCTCAGAAGCGTGAACCTTTGAGACTCGGTGGGTAACATTTTCCCTCTGAGTTGCAGCATTAATTGCATATACGTACTTGAAGTACAATCTGCCACCATTTCAGCAGCAGGGTCTGTGCCAACAGCAGCCCCACATGGAACAATAGAAACAGGGATGTGATTCACAGCAGGTCCTCGCTGTGTCTTAAATAGCTCACAGGAGGACAGAGATTTACAATGGCCTTCAGGAGCCTGGCTTTGTGCTTGCTGGTGTGAGTGGAAAGAGCCCTCTGAGGACCAAGCTAAAACCCAAGCGGTCAGTGAGCTGCCCCTGAAACAAGCTTCTATTTAGAAACATGATGAGGTTATTTAACAAACGAAATATCAGCGCCCCTGAAAGCCTCCCGGGATTAGCCTATTTCTAGACAAGAAAGTTTCATTTTTGTGGCTCATGTGAATTGGACAGCGTCTCCAGGCACAGTGTGTTCCATGAATGAAATCACTGGAGTCAGCCCAACAATCCACCAGGTTAGTCTGATAAGCATTTTACTATTTTGTTTCTTTATGTGTTTGTTCTCTAACAAAACCAACCAATGATTATAGTGGTCAATTCAATAAAAACATTTTTTAATCTCTTAGACAATCTCAGACAAATAACCAATTTGATAAAAATAGTTTCTATCACCCCAGTCAATTCAGTCCACAAAAGTCAGTAAAATAAGACAGCTAGCTGGCCTTTAAGAGAAGAGTAAATCAGCATTCAAGGAAGGAAAAATGAGATAGCATTTCCCATGGAATATACAGCAAGAAAAAGTGCATCCTTTACCTTGGTCAAAAGGCTTGTTGGGATTCCAGTTTCTGAAATAATCATCCTATATGAGGAAAAAAAAACAGAAAACAAAGGTCAGATTTCAAGAAGCTTCTCACATAAATGCATAAAAAGCTGCCTTTCCTCCCACCTCCCAAAACACAAAGGAAAACACTAAGGGCTTAGAAATCTTTCCAAGGCATTCACGTGCAATCAAAAATATCAATTGACTTTTTAAATTCTTGTCTTTCGAACTGTATGGATTATACACTAGGAAGAGTTAATACATTTCAGCCTAATATGGAAACAGCACTGCTCTTCCTGGTTTGACAGATAAACGGAGACACCTTCTAAGTGCAAGACTTATTTGCTATCAATTATACCGCTAGTGGTGATGCCTAGCTGTTCTCACTTGGGATTAAGCCTCTGTGTTTGTAACCACTGATAATTCAACTGTCAACATTTCTCCTACACGAAGACATGTAATTCTGGCCCACAATTCCAGTTTTCTAACTCCCCAAACCTAAAAACAGAGGGCCATTCAAATGTGAGAATTAACCACAGGCATATATTCAGCTTAATACCATGTGTCCCAGGTGTGTAAAGATAAAAACACAAAGGCTGGCCAATCTGGTTCGTTCATAACCATGTCCTTCTTGCATGAAGCTTGCCTCGATTTATGCTCCGAGGCTAGACACTTCATTACTTTGAAAGTGCAAGGGTCCAGGTCCCTCGCTTCTCTATCGCCACATTAACCTCTTCCCCACTGCTAATAACCCTTCCCTTCCAAACCTCCACTGCCCACTCTTTCTCCTCCCTGTAAGTGCTCACCCACCCCACTGCGGCCGAGCACACCCACTCTGTCAGCTCAGCTCAACTGTCTGCAACATGCAGAGGCCTCACCCGTGGAAAACACCTCCACAACCATTTTTAGGGCATGTGCCCCCATGCAGTTAATTTCCTCCTGCATATACTCAAATGATCTGCTGGATGTGTTTTCGGCTGGTACACTGCAGGCTGCAGTTCCAGAAAGCTGTCCAAAATGAGGCCTCGACGCCTCTTCTAGAGAAGTTCATTTAGATCAAAGTGCACAATTAGTTTCAACTATGGTCCATGCCATGCCGTCTCCTGCGCCGTTTATCTCCGACACCATCTCCTGTGAATTTTATCGGCCTCTGTGTCATTCAATTACCTGGCTTTATTAGATCCTGGTTGCGTTCACCTAAGCCCTTAAATAGGTTTTAGGAAACTGGATTTAGAGTAAAATCAGAACATTGCTCCTTGGGCAGTGATTCCGGGTTCCTCCGGATCCTGGGGATTCAGCATTAAATCATTTTTAACTCTGAGGAATTGGCCCACTTTGCTCTGGCTTTAAATTTATGGCATAACTGGTCTTCTCACCCATCTGGTTAGGAAGTCTCTGAGGTCTACACCATGAAATATCACTGAGAAAGTTTAAAAGAATCCCTCTGCCACATCTCTCTCCATTTATTATTTTAAATATAATCCTAGTCTCTTGAATTATGTGGCAGCCAGAGTTAATGATTCTAAGTTAAGAGCCGGATGATGGGTGGGAAATTTACCACTTGATTTCTCAGCTTTGATGGCCAATATACTCAGCACTAAATACAAGCAAGTGACTCAGACATTCTGCTGTTCACAAGGGCAAGAGAAGAGATAACCCAGGAGGACCTCACCCTCACCACTGGAGAAAAAACAACAAAACCTCTGTCCTTCCAGCTGTGGTTCATCAGTGCCCTCTGCACATCCAGAGGATGGCACCACCCAACCGCAATCTAAAATCATGGGAACTATTTTCTACTTGAACATGCTGTTCTAATACATGGAAGTCCTTGGAAGCTTAAGATGTGTGTCTAACAAGGAAGGACTGGAGCCAAAGACAAGTTCCTTTGCTTTAATTTCACATGTCACATTCTCTTTGATATCCAAGTGAGGTTTGAGCCGGTCTCAAGAACTGAATATTCCCTAGTGATTTCAACATACGTTATAACTTGGATGGAATGTGAAGCATTCTTCTGGACCTTGCCACATTTCCAGGCTAACTATAACTGCCATTTTTACATATTTCTTGAGGAAAATCATGGTTTTAAATATAAAACCTCTAAAAGTGGCTATCTGCATGAGAATATTTAAAAACTCATTGCACATGTAATAATTCTGCCTAACTGCTGCCCACATGTGAAGGTACACCTGAGTCAAAGCTCATTGTGCAAAATGAGTCCTTCAAACAGCCTCTAGCCCAGCAAGGCCAAGTGGGGAAGGAAAATGATTTCCCTGCATCTGATTGCTTTTGACCTGCCTTAGGAAAGCGGGTGCCAAAGCAGAACCTAATGAGCTAGCAGCCCAGACAACCTTGGGTGTGACCGCTGTGGCTACAGCTGAGAAAGAAGAACCAGAGCCCACTTGGGGGATGGCCACTGAGCACGGGCCATTTAGCGGTCACTGCGGCAGCGAGGTCCAAATATGAGCGGCCGGAGTTCACGGATCAGCCTTCCACACTGGACCAGCCAGGTCTGCAGACATGGGCAGTCCAAGCAGCTGGGCCTGTGCCAATCAATCCACTCTGCCTCTGGGGCAACGTCTGGTAAGGACCATAGTTGATACCATCCAAACTCGCGCGGAAAAAGCCAAAGCTAGAAGAACGCCCTTCTAGAGCTTCACCTCACCCCTGAGTCCCACTTAACAGTCAGTGCTCAAGGGACAAAGGACGACTGGCTGGTCATTTCTCCAGCGCTTAACATCCACGGGCACCAGCCCAGATCTTCCTTTATCTTATTTTCTATCTAAAATTTTTAAATATAGCATATATTTTAGGCTATCCTAAAACAGACCCAGGACTTGCTGTGCCGTTGACGCTTCTCCCTCCTTTCTCACAGTGGCAAATCCCACCGTGGGAAGCAGTGTGCCAGCCCCACACCACCCAGGTGCTGCCCGGTACCTAAGTGCATTATGCTGCGTGGACCCCAGAGCCTGGTCCAGAGACCAGAAAAGCACAGGACTTGAAAAGCCCTCACCTCTGATCTTCCTTCTGGCCCAATAAAGATGTGGCCTGTTAAAATTCAGACTATGGTGGAAGGCATGGTGGACATACTAGATCACACTCGCCAGGCGAGGTGTATCTGTCTGTGTTGGCCTCTTAACGGGTAATTTTATCTCTACTGATGAAGCTTTTAAAAATGACTTGCAAGGACCTCAGCAACAGTTAACTCTTAAAACATACACCTAAATAGAAGTTCGCAGACCTAGATACAGTTATTTATTAAATTCACTAACTCCTATTAGTGCATTCTACAGGCTGAAGGGTGAAGGGTGGCAGTGTTACCATGCATGTATATTTTATTGGCTACACTGCACAGGATAATTATATCAGGCCTCTGCTGGACAGGGCAGAGAACAGTCTTCCTCTAAATTCTCACCATACGAGGAAGGGCGTATTCCATTTCATGATACCACTTCGAAAGTGAAAATCACCTAACTCTTTAGGGACTGTTAAAACCCGGAAGAACCTATAAATTTAAAAAGACTCTCAAATTTGAGCATACTGAGTTATGTCCAAAATCATGAAACATTCCAGGTGAGCATACAGTCATAGTAAAAACACATCAAAAGTCATTATACCTAAATGTCCATCAACAGAGGAATGGATAAAGAAGAGGTAGTACATATATATACAATGGAATATTACTCAGCCATAAAAAGGAGTGAAATTGGGTCATTTGTACAGACGTGGATAGAGAGTGTCATACAGAGTGAAGTAAGTCAGAAAGAGAAAAGCAAATATTGTATAATAACACATATATGTGGAATCTAGAAAAATGGTATAGATGATCTTATTTGCAAAGCAGAAATAGAGACACAGACGTAGAGAACAAATGTATGGATATCAAGGGGGAAAGGGGTGGGGTGGGAGGAATTGGGAGACTGGGATTGACACATATACATTATTGATACTATGTATAAAATAGACAACTGATGGGAACATACTGTATAGCATAGGGAGCTCTACTTAATGCACTGTGGTAACCTAAATGGGAGGAAGTCCAAAAGGGAGGGGATGTCTGTATGTGTATGGCTGATCTGCTTTGTTGTGCAGTGGAGGCTAACACAACCTTGTAAAGCAACCATACTTCAAAAAAATTATAAAAAAAAAAAGCATACAGGTGACAGTAAGAAAGCAACAAATGATAACGTCTAGAATGACGAAGAAGGGAGTGGTGCTGGTGGTGGAGGGAGAGTCGTGGGAGTGATCATGGCCCCAATTATTTTTTTAAACCCTCCACCGCTGATCAAAAGAGGTAAAACCATATTCATTTCACTAAATAAATATCCCACTCAACACAATACTGGATCCTGTGAAATTACTGGCACCCAGTGGCTGGTGCAAAGGAATTTAACTCTGGTTTTTCAACTACTTTAGAGATACCCTGCTTTGATATACATTCATGGGAAGCGAAATCTTTTTAAAATATATACATATATAACACATATTAAATAGTATATATATAAAAGATATTAATAAGGATATATTTATCAGGACATGTTAATAAAATACGTATATATACATACATAACAAAGGACATTCTGATCTATAATGCATCTTCCAAGAAAACTTTTAAGCCTCCCTACCATGAAATGATGCAAAAATATTCCTGCCATAATTTTAGTGATTAAGTCTCCTCATCATGGATGTCATAACGAATTGGAAAGTCTCTGGGTTTAGCCCATTTTGATTGGGAACCTGAATTTCTCTTCCCCTGTCCCACAGCCCCCACATGGCCGATGCAATTTAGCTCAACTATTCCCCAGGGGGTTGCCTTTCCAGAGATGCTGATTTCAGCTCCAAAGAATGTCAAAGCAACTCTGAGGAAGAGATGAAGTGGCACAATCAAATGGAAACCACTTTTGAGATCCAACTGCTTTACTCCCACTTACGAAGATGATGATGTAATTTATATAGACCTTACAGCTTTAGCAACTACAGATCAAAGACACTTCGCTCTCATGGAACAGATCATTTCTCCTTCACACATATTTTAGCTAAGTTGTTTGAACACTGAAGTATCATCTGAAGATTACCTGAGGTAATAAAAATTACCAGCCTAGAAAATAAATGGAAGCCTCATTTGTCTCGACCAGGAGTGAGCAGTGGAGACATGTACAGAAGGAAGTAAGGTGAATTGAGGGCAGGCAGCCTCTTGGGGTCATCTGAAGACCCCCTGCAGGTAAATACGAAATAGGAGAAGCATTGCCCTGCAGGGCCAGGTGGACTAAAGCCAGGTTTATAGATCCTAGATGGAGGTTAATCCCACTTTATCAAACCCCAAACATTTACAAAGAGATTAGTTAAGGAGCTATAGGCAAACTGCTCTCCAAAGGACTCAGTGCAAACTAGTTATTTTCCACACTAACTGACTGGGGAGAACAGGAAGGAGGGGTGGCTGGCAGGTGGGAAAAGCATCTCTGAAATGATAATAGAAGTCATTGGAAATGTGAGATTTCCAGATGACATTATGTAAGTGCATCAGCTGAATAATGTGAAATTTTCCTGTCATTTCAATTTGTGTGCAGTGGAAACCCCTACTAATCACGCTGTTGAGAAATACAAAACATTCCATCTATTGGGAAGGAACTAGCTTCCCAGACACCACCTTACCTCTGAGCTATTTCCAGTCACATCTCTGGGCAAGCAATGTGCTATCGGTCTCCTCTCCATCAGGCCTGTCCTGCCCACCCCTGGTGAAGAGCCCCAGTGACAATCCTTCTGAATGAAGCGATCGACCAACCAGCCCAGCTTGGACAGTGACTTGAGGTCCCCCGCCCACCCCCCATCACTCCACAGACCCCACTCATGCGAACTCTGTACACCAGGGACTGGAAGCTGGGCCATTAATACATCTTCCATTGGCACATAGCACACACACACACCTGGGCCCAGGCTACTTCTGAACAGGGATGGGTCTTACTCACCTGCACATTCCCCCAGGGCAACACTCAACAGTGCACAGTAAGTCCTGGCCGAACTGTATATAATTTAAGTGAGCTGTTCCAGCTTTAACATCTCCGTATCCCTGTGAAATGCCCATAACTGTTCCTGGTGTGCACGTAAGGACAGGTGGGTGTAGGTTTATACAGACACTCTAAATCACTTTCTTCCTGAATAGAGTGATTCTTTGATAAATTGGTCTGACATTTGGTATAAAGTCCTGCAGGCCTCAGACAAAATGATTTAGAAAATAACAATGTCAGTTGCTCTGCTCTTTCAATAAATAACCCACCAGTAAAACACAGATAATAACTGACAATCATACTTGTACTGTAACTAATGAGAAAAGATAAAGCAGTAAATGGACTGTTTCTATGCATTTGATAAATTGCACCCCCTGGATAAACCCATGAAAAATAAATGTGTGTGCTCCTGTTTCACTGAACTCAAACAAATATTTACCACTGAGATTTAGGATTTAGAGTGAAATTTACATTTTACTTGGCAACTATTTTGATGCTATGTCTACACACAGTAGAAAAATCAAAAACCTACCTCAACTTCCTGAGTACGAAAGCATTATAAATGAGAAAAAAATAAAAGAATCACATCAAACGATAGGAAGGAATGTAAACATTTTCGATAATTGCATCAAAATTTCAAATTATCATAACATTAGAAAGGTCACAGGCAGACATTTTCCCGACCATCACTCCCTTGAAAAGGTCCCCTTGTTCACTAAGTTCATGAAAAGAACATTAGGTTCTCAGTAGATTAAGTGAAGCGCAGGGAAATCAGAGGGTCCTCTGGTGATCTGTGTCATTACTGTAGGACAAATAGCAAAATCATGATTAAACCCAAATACGCAGGCATGATTATTATCTTTGAGAATTTCAAATGATTAATTTCCTATGACACTGGTCCAAAGGGTGAAATTCAATAAAAGTCCCGATATGACATCAGACAGCAAGAATAAAAGACCTTCTACATTTCTGCAAAGAAATTCTTTTGCCTTGCAGCTCCAAAATAGCTTGAAGGGGTCTAAAACCTGAGAAAGACGTGGATTTATGGTCTTGGGATGTGAAATGAATAGGACTGTCATGGCCGCTCGGGTGATTAAAGGATTATAACTGCCACAAAGTCCCCTTCCTCAGGACTGTCTGCCTGTCCATTTCTGTCCATCCAAGCTGGGGTCAGGGGGAGTGACGGCTGATTTGGGCTTTTCTCAAAGAGAAAAGCTGAGTCTGAGGTCCATTCCAGAAAGTGTGCCCTATATCTGGCTGCTTCTTCTGGGAATACAAATGGACCTACGATGCTGCATTTGTACTCTGACCAAGACAAAGGGCGTCTCCCCAGACGCAAAGCCACCCACACCCTTGACCTCGTTAGCAAAATGATCAAAATACCTGAGCTAGCCAGGAGCAGGCTTCTGAATGTCAGATGGGAGTGAAGCAGGCAGGGGCTATGGTGTCAAAGACAGAGGAGACACTATGAACAGGACAGGCTCTGAAGCAGATACAGGTTCAAATCCTGCCTTGAACACTCACCAGCCAGCTGGCCTTGCACAAACCCCTTAGCTTCTGAGATGCAGTCCCTTGATCCACAAAGCAAGACCACTGCACCTGCCTTGGAGGCTGGGTCACCATGATTCACAACAATGTGGCAAAGTGACTGGCATATTACCAGGCACAAAGAAGGACTCAATAAATAAAAATGTACACTTTTGTGTCCATGTCCAGAGGTTTATAATACTGAGATGTCTCAAAAACATTGAGAGAAACAGGCTTTATAGAAACAATGACATGCTTAAAATTTCAGTAATGTGACACTTGTGCATTTGAATCTCACCAAATAGGCCCAAATGAAGGGAGATCAATTGTACTTGGGAACAATAATTATGAAATATTTCAAACGCATGCAATTTTATTAGTCTTATGAATGAAGAGTGACTTAGAAAAAATGCAATGAAATATGAAAGCATGAGTTGCAAGCACATCGCTGTTTAAAGGTCAGGCACCCATTCTCTAAGATTCAGTGACCCTGTCTATTAAAAAAAGATATTACTTACACCATACAGCTGTTCTGTATAACCAGTGAGGTGTTTTGAACCATTGTTAGCAATTACACATCATACAGTTCTAAGTCAATTTAAGTTTCAATTTTGACTCACTATATCCCGTTAAGTGGACTGGGCCTGCTCTGAACAGGTAAAATTTCTGCATAATCATTAACTGACACGTAGAAAACAGAGGAAGGAACTGTGAAAAGGTCCACCTCATTGACACACCAAGTAAGACCCTTGCCGTCCTGGAGCATGTAAACCTTTACTTTACAGAAAATACAAACTGTACTTGCCTAAGGCCCAGCCCTGTCCGAGTATCACGAACTCCAAATTCATTAGGTCCCTCTATCTTTCTGAGAATGCCACTCTTACCACCCCCGAGGCTGGCAGGCCTCCATCAACATCCAGATGCTGCCTTTTGGAGTATACAACACTGGCTATGAACTATCACCACACCCCTTCCTCCCCACCCACCCTGCACGGGAGGTGCCAACCGCAGGCACTGGAAAGCAGTGGTTCTCATCCTTGACTGACCACTGGGGTCACGGAGGACCTTTCTAGACACTGATGCCTGGCACCACCTAGGAGATGCTGATTCGGTGGTCTGCGCCATGGCCTCCACAATGGGACATTTAAAGTTCCTCAGAGGATTCTAATGAGTAGCCCCCATTGGCTAAAGGAAGCCACACACTGATTCAATCACAGTGACTGAAAGGTGACCAGGGGACGATCAGGTCCACCACAAACAGCAAACCCGGTGCGGCCCATCAGAGGCCTCCCTTCCCCCAGCTTCCAGAGCTTTCCAGAGTTAAATTCACCTTCCACTGTCAGGTCTGGCCTCAACACCTCTGGGGCTCAGTACACGGTACCTCTGGGCGCTCTGCTGGCCAGGCCAGGATCCAGGCTGGACTGGTCCCTCTTCCCTCCCTCTTCCCTCCCTCTGCCATTCAGGCATCAACCAGGCCGCCTCCCTCCCTGGATCTGTCACACCTCCCACTCTCTGCAACCACAGCCTCTCCCTCAGTCGGGCCCCCCAGCTGCCCCTCGGGTCACCACCATGTGCCCAGCCAGCCTCCACTCCCTGTACCCTGCTCAGGCTGTTCTCCATGCTGCTCCCACGGGGACCCTCTGAAGGGACGCCTGCCCTCATCAGGCCCCAGTATCAAATACTCGAGTTGCTCCCCACAGCTCCCAGGCAAAGGCCAAGCCCGGGAGCAGCTTACAGGGCCCTGCAAGGCACAGTCCCTGCTGAATCCTCCAGTCCCCCTGCAGCCACACCCCAGCCCACACGCTTTGCTCCAGCCCCACAAGAACCACTTCTTGGTTCTGCAACAGCCATACTTACTTCGAGCTCTGAAATTCTGCACATGCTGCTCCTTTTGTGCCTGAAATACCCTTCCTCGCCCTTCTCTGATGAACATTTGCTGCTCTATCAAATCCCAGTTTAGACTAGACGACGCTCCTTGTGCGCAAACCTCCCCGTCCCCAATCCCTGCGCATCAGAGACGTCTCAGCCGTGTGGTCTACACAGAGCACTGACGCAACCGCTCTGCAGTGGCCGACCACTCTCCTGCCACTTAACCACACAGCCAGCAGTCCCCACGGCCAGGGGCGGGACATCTTCACCTCCACACCTCCAGAGCCCAGCACATGCCTATCTTGCAACAGGTACTCAATGAGCACCTCCTATGAAGACAGAACCATTCAACCTCTGTTGCTTCTTTTACACCAGAGTCTTGGGCTGCAACTCCCCAATTAATTCCCCGTTGACTCAGAACTTCAGGCTCCGTGACCTGGAGGTTTCCAAGGAAAGTGAAATGGGCAACTCCCTTTGTGTAACTTAAACTGGGGCAGTAACGGGAACCTGGCACCAGCAGGGATGACGGCAGAAGACCTTGGAGGGATCGACCAAGGAGGACAGGTGGACCCCTGCCCGACAGCCTCGCCCCACGTCTGCTAACACGCCGAGTCACCGCAAGGAACACACAGATTTCATGACTTGGCTCACCACGGCTGGCAGAAATCGGATGCAAGATTCAGGACCTGCATCAAGGTGAAGTTGAAATGAAAAAGTTGAAATCCAGTCCAAAATATCCAAGTGATACTGATAGCAACGTTAACCTTCATCATATAGGAATAACAGCAGCTACCAATTTCCGAGTGTTCCCCACGCGCCAGGCGCCGTCCAAGCCAGCTGTGTTCTAGCTCACTGAACTCATATGATAACCGTGTGAGGCAGGCACAATCAGCACCCCGATGACATGGCTGGGAAAGCAAGCTTCGAGAGATCGCATTTCTATATAAGGTCACACAGCTAGCGAGAAGCAGGAGGATTTGAACTCAGTTTTGCCCGACTCGAAGATCATGCTCTAACCGCTCCACACTGCGTTAATGGCACCATGTGAAGGGAGGACCAGTGAGGTATGTGAAGACTGGAGACCCTGGGAGACAACACGGGGCTCGTTCCCTATTGGAGATGGAACACGATGGTTGCAGGAGATGCCAAGGGACGGAGATGAGCACAGAGGCCTGAGGCCTCCCAAGAGGCTCCCTCTACCACTGCATTGACCCTTAGTACATCTGAGCCTGAGCTTCCCCGTCTGTGAAAGGGGAGATTCAAACACCTGCCTCACGGTTCTTTGTGAGCTTGGACAGCAGGTCCATCTGTCCTGTGCCTGGCCCCAAGAAAGCAGTCAGGACATCGGATGTCCTGACCACCCCGTACCCCAGATGGTTCCCTGGGCTTCAGAATCGTGGCCAGCAGTACTGATGACAGCAGCCTCAGGAACAAGCCCCCCTGAGGAGCACTTTGTGGGCTCTGGACCAAGCACTGCCACCACACCTGTCTGCCACCACACTCTCTGGGGCCCACTTCAAAGTGGAGCATTCAATGCCGACATCAAGCCACTGCACAGAGGACGTGGTGGCTTCGGCACCACCCATCTCTCTGAGAAGCCATGACCACGGACTTTGCGTGAAATTTTCATTAGCTGCACAGCAAGGCCTGCTGCGGTTCCTCCCAGCCCTACCATTCAGCCTCTTCTCTTGGAAGGAACATTTGGGAAAGTTAGCAATAAAAACTCCCTCACTGTGCCCCTAAAAGCATCCTAGCAGCCTCCCTGCCTGCCCTCCTCTGCATCCTGAGGCTCTGGCCCTTGGACCATGTACACAGCAGATGCTCCTTACCAAAGCCCCAGAAATAAATCTGGTCAAGGTCTTTTGTCCACTTCAAAGCAATGATGTCACCATCAGAATCTGAGAGGGTTCATTTGAAATCTGCAACTTCTGAACTTCTTTCCCCCGTGGTGAGAGGTCACCAGAGTAGACAAGCCTGCCAAATAGACCCACACTCCCAAGCCACAATTTCCCTCTGTGATCACTGGCAAAGCTTCCACAGAGAAGGCGGAGTGTGCCCTGTCTGAGGTACAGCCACTGCTATAACTAGGGCTTGCCATGAGGGTAGAACGATCCTCTCACACTGACTGAAAACCCTCCATAGGAC